GAAATCTTAAGGGTTGAAGCCTTTGTACAGGAGAAGTCTGTACACGTCCAGTACATTGACTTTCCTTGCTGAAACTGACTAAAAATGGCTCCCTTCCCTTCTCAATTGTCCTGAACAGGGGGTGGAACCAAACTTAACGATGATGGGCAGGGGGCCTGCCCTATAACTGCAAACTTTAACAGAAAGCTACCCTTCTGCAGAATCCCAAGCCTTGGGCTGCAAGCAAACACTTAATACAAGGCAAATAAAGTGAGAGCTTCTGGTACAGCTGTACCAGCACAAATATACTTTATTTATATTCTGCTCTATCTTCCCGAGAAGACTCAGGGCAGATTACAGAACACATATACGGCAAACATTCAATGCCATTATACAATTCACAAAAACAGACAATACATAAACAGAGCTATATAGGCTTTCCCATCTTTTTCCATTTCTGGCATTTGGAGGCTGTGCTTGACTTCGGCCACAAGGTGGTGTTGTTGCTCCATCACCCATGCGGATTGAATTGCCAACATATTCTTTATGGGCACCTTCTTGTTACTTCCACATTAAAAGCGGTATCTATTTATCTACCCACATTACTGTTTTTGATCTGCTAGGTGGGCAGGAAGCTGGATTGACGGTGGGAGCTCACCCCACCTGGGCTTGAACTGTCAACCTTTCGATTGGCAAGATTTTCTACACCTGGCAGTTTAACCTACTGTGCTAAAGCCTGGCTTTAGACTTTAGACTTGGTCCCCATCTTCAAGATACGTTTATATATGCAAATATAGATATTCAATCATTTAAAAAGAAATCCATAAGAGAGGTAGTGGGGATGGCACCGGGAAGAGGGAAATAACCAGCACTATAAATATCAATCTATATCTGATTTCCCAATTATATTCTAGAGGTGAAGCTTAAGTCTTTTGACTCTCAGTCATTATCCACCAGATTTTAATCGCAGCTGTGCAGAACTTAGTGACGTTGTACATCACAGCCGAGTTTGTATCTGACAGCAGCAGGGCTATGTAGATGTGTTCAGAGTGTCCTGGGTATTTATTTGTCCATGGCAAGATGAGATGAGATTGAATGTCTTTATAAAACAGGCACTGTAGAAGCTCATGCTCCGTTGTTTCTATGTGACCTGAGTCACAGGGACATAGCATAGAGTACGGGGTCTTTTGGTAATGACCTTCCAGTATGGCAGAAAGAAGTGCATGGCATCATGGCAAGGTGAAGGTTCTCCAGTGGTTGGCTACCTCCAACATTGTTTCTTTTTCTTTTGTATCAGGAGTGACTTGAGAAACTGCAAGTCACTTCTGGTGTGAGAGAATTGGCCATCTGCAAGGACGTTGCCCAGGCGACGCCCAGATGTTTTGATGTTTTATCATCCTTGTGGGAGGCTTCTCTCATGTCCCCGCATTGGGAGCCTGAGCTGACAGAGGGAGCTCATCTGCGCTCTCCCCAGATTTGAACCTTCGATCTGTCGGTCTTCAGTCCTGCTGGCACAGGGGTTTAACCCACTGCAGCACGGGTGCTCCTCCACAGTAGTGAAATAACTTTTACATTCTGGGGAATGGCAGTATGAGAACTGATAAATAAATAAGTCCCAGACGGTTGCCCATCATTATGCGTCTCTTGTCTTGAAAAGTTCACAGTACATGTATGAGGCTACTCATATCATTCGGTGAGTAGGAAGAGATGCTTCTGCAAGCTCCCTGTGAGCCTTGGATTTATCATCTTGTGTTTTGCAGTATCCTTTTTCGCCCCTGATGCTCAGATTCCTGAACAGTGTAGGATTTAAAAGGTTCCCCTGACATTTGCTCCTGCGATTTCTGTGCTGCTCCATTCGAGAACCCTTGGCTTTCCTGCCTGACTAATGTTTAAATAGCACGTGCCAAGAACAATGAATCAAGGCATGTCCAACCTTTGAAATTTGCACCTGAGCTTTTGTAACTAGAGCAATAAGAAAGGCCTGGATGCCTTAGATAATTTGTATGTTTTTATTGAGATTTATATACTGTTTGATAAGCAAACAGAGAATCTGAATAAGTGGGATGCCAGCGGAGCAGCAAATATGTGCAGCTGCAGTTGTCTTGCTTTAAAGTGTACTGGACTCCTAGTCATTAAGGTAAATAATTAATTTAAAGTATCTTATCTGAGGAGCTCCAAGTAGAATAATCATCATTATCAGCGTAGAGAATAGGAAATTGATTTATTTCTTCCTTCTATCCTCCAACTAATGGTTGGAGCCATAAAATACTGGAGACTATTGTGTGCAGGGTTTGTACTAGAGAGATCAACTTATCACCATAATTGGCTTTGCGCTTACCTAAGCGGCACCCCTGGATATAATACGGATTGTGATGGAAAGCCACAACCCAGTTTCAGTTCAGTCAAAAAGAATACTGTATGTTTCAGTTTAAATTGACACGAAGATATATATGTGGACCTTTAAGTCATCAATTAATGTGTAAGGTTTTCTTAGGTAAAGAATACTTAAAGGTGGTTTTGCCAGTTCCTTCCTATAGTCTAGAGTAAGCGGCTGAGGGGGTAAAGGAAAGGGCCTGAGGCTGTTAGGAATTGTGGGAGTTGAAGCCCAAAACACCTGGAGGACCAAAGTTGGCCCATGCCTACTCTAGAGCACATGAGATTTGTTGACTGTCTCCCATCAAAGTCCAAATCTGGGCTGATTCATCTTAGTTGCCAGTATCAGATAGGATCTTGTATCTTTAGAGTATTTTGTTCTACCACAGTAGCACATATGAATTAGAACAATACCATGCCCTTCTTTAGCAGAGGATATCCATGAAATATATTAATATCTGGATTTCAGGTATATTGCGACCTTCCATATGGCTGAAATGTGATCCCTATGCTCAGGACCAGTTTTTTATGTAAACAGATTTCGCAGCTGAGAAGCTTTTCCTGTTCCCTCTTTCTCAATGGCTGCAAATGCCATAGCATTTACAACCCCAATCCAGATGGCCTATATTTGAAGGCTCAAAAGTCTTCCTCTGGTGCCAAAGGACTGGTTTGAAGGTGCTTGGGTCTCCTCAACGTTGTCCTGGGCGATCTGGGTATGAAGTATGAGTCCCAAGGTTGTTGTTCATTCGTTCAGTCGTCTCGGACTCTTCGTGACCTCATGGACCAGCCCACGCCAGAGCTCCCTGTCGGCCGTCACCACCCCCAGCTCCTTCAAGGTCAGTCCAGTCACTTCAAGGATGCCATCCATCCATCTTGCCCTTGGCCGGCCCTTTTTCCTTTTACCTTCCACTTTCCCCAGCATAATTGTCTTCTCTAGGCTTTCCTGTCTTCTCATGATGTGGCCAAAGTACTTCAACTTTGTCTCTAGTATCTTTCCCTCCAGTGAGCAATCGGGCTTTATTTCCTGGAGGATGGACTGGTTGGATCTTCTCGCAGTCCAAGGCACTCTCAGAACTTTCCTCCAACAAGGGTAAAAACCTTAAAATTGGTGATGAGAGGTAACTTAAAACAAGGGCTTTAGAGCCAAGTCTCTTTCTCACATCTATCTGATAGAAAGTTTGATGGTAGAATGGAAAAGGAAAAGCTCTGCCCTCCTCCAGGAAGAGGTGGAGCCAAGCAGTTGAGCTGAAGAAGCAATATAACTGGTGCAAACAACATTGATTGACAGCTATAAATAACCAATCAATCCAACTATATATTTACAAACTAGGCAAGTTTGGGCATGTTATACAGTTTAAACCTTTGCCACTCGTGCCGTCACACTATCCAATGCAATTTTCTGAATGAGCACCCCAAATAACCAAAAACATATTTGTAACCCCTTTTGGTACTAACATTGGAGAGTGGTTCCTGGTCAAATTAGTCCCTGGTCAAGTGGTCACTGATCAAGTGGTCCCCAGTCAAAAAAAGGTTGGGAATCACTGGTGTAAATGGAAGCATCACAAGTGGAGTTTGGAACTGAATGGTTGATATTTTGGTGGACAACTTTCTGAGCCCAAAGGTTGGCCAGCCTAGACCCAAGTCATTATTTGGAGGAGAATCATATGATGCAATTCTGGCCAGAATTATGTGAGTTGGAGTTGAGGGGACACAAAATGCCTAATGGAGCTGCCTCATTTGAAGAGTGAAGTCTGAAAGAAAGAAGTGGCCCAGAGAAACAGTGAGAAAAAAGGAAGTAGTATTGACAGAACTAGAAAGAGAAAAGGTGACACTGAGAAGGAAGCAAGACAACAAGAGAAACACTGATTGAGAAATGTCTGTTTACACCAGGAAGGAGATTTTTTTTTTTACCATATCCACAGGGACATTTGTTCTGTGCTCATTACTTCTATTGTGCAAATGTGTTGACCACTATTTAAGAATTTAATCAAGTGCATGTGTCAAACTCAAGGCCTGTGGGCCAAATTTAGCTCACTATATATGGCCCTCCTGATGCTGGACTATAACTTGTATTCATCATCATTAGCCATCATAACTAGCACTGGTGGGAATTGTGATACAGTAACATCTGGAAGGCTGCTGTTTGTTCTGTTTAGTGAGGAGAGTGGGTTTAGATTTAGATACAAGGCTTGTGGATATGATGTCTGACTTGAAAATGTCCTTCAACCATGTGTGGTTGGGTTGCAATCCCATTATCCCTAGTCTGCATAGTAGAAATATAATCAAAAGTGAGTGGAATTGTGGTTCTATGACATCTGGGCACCCAAATTGGGTAAAAAGTAAAGAATACCAACCACTGTGTAAATATATAGATATCTACAGGTTCTCCATCCATGAATTCAGTGGCCCTTTGAAGGCAACCATGAGGCTGCTGTGGCCCTCAATGAAAATGAGGTTGACATCCCTGTAATAGAGGACAGGGAATTTCATACATTAGGCATTCACTACCTTGAAGAAGTATTGTAATACTTTGACATGACACAACTGCTACAGTAGTTGCTTCTTGCATGAATGGCTTTATACTTCAAGGTAGACTTCAGGTGGAAAGGGAAATCATCCTAACTGTCTCCGTTCTGCTTTCTTTCCAGGCAGAAGACAACTACACCACAGGCAGCCCTTCCAAAGGACTTTTCTCAAAGGGGCTCCAGAACCGGCCTTCCAGCCCAGCCTCTGCTCCGGTCAAATCTAAGCATAGCCCAGGTTCACCCAAAACAGTGTTCCCCTTCCCGTACCAGGAGTCCCCACCTCGCTCCCCGCGCCGCATGAGCTTCAGCGGCATCTTCCGCTCCTCCTCCAAGGACTCTTCCTCCCCGGGCTCCAACCCATCTACCTCCCCTGGCGGGATCAAGTTCTTCTCCAGATCAAGAAAAAGTAAGAAATTGATTGCTTTGATTTCATGAAGACCCTCTAGGCCAGTGGTTCTCAACCTGGGGGTCGGGACCCCTGGTGGGGTCATGAGCGAGTGTCAGAGGGGTCACTGAAGACCACCAGAAAACACAGTATTTTTTTTTGTCATGGGCGTTCTGTGTGGGAAGTTTGGCCCAATTCTGTCGTTGGTGGGATTCAGAATGCTCTTTGATTGTAGGTGAGCTATAAATCCCAGCAGCTACAACTCCCAAAATATCAAGATCTATTTTCCCCAAACTCCACCAGTGTTCACATTTGGGCATATTGAGTATTAGTCTAGATCCATCATTGTTGGAGTGCACAGTACTCTCTGGATATAGGCAAACTACAACTCCAAAACTTAAGGTCAATGCCCACCAAACCCTTCCAGTATTTTCTGTTGGTCATGGGAATTCTGCGTGCCAAGTTTGGCCCAATTCCATCGCTGGTGGAGTTCAGAATGCTCTTTGATTGCAGGTGAACTATAAATCCCAGCAACTACAACTCCTAAACGACAAAATCAACCCCCCCCCAACCCCACCAGTATTCCAATTTGAGCATTTGTGTATTTGTGCCAAATTTAGTCCAGTGAATGAGAATTCATCCTGCATATCAGATATTTACATTACAATTCATAACAGTAGCAAAATGACAGTTATGAAGTAGGAAGGAAAATAATGTTATGGTTGGGGGTCATCACAACATGTGGAATTGTGTTAAGGGGTCACAGCATGAGGAAGGTTGAGAACCACTGCTCTAGGCTGGGCTCCATTTCCTTTCCTTGCAGTAGGAACTTAAGAATGGATGCTATTGGGGGCCTGTAGTTTCAGAATTTGTTCATAATGAGTTTACACCAAAGCTTCCTATTCTAGTGTATTTGCAGATAAGTGGCTGTATTTTTTGAGATTCACAGGTTGAGTGGTAAGACAAAAGGTAAGAGAGGACCTGGTTCCCCCAGGCAGCATGGAGAAAGGTAGTTATCACCCCCAAATCTAATTTTACCAAACTCTGAACAGTGGATGAGTAGATCCCATGTTTTCTAATTCCAAAACACAAGGCTATCAAGGGCTATCATTACTTCTGTGTGTCGTCTCAAAGATCAGATGCAACATTCCTTGAGAACAAGAGATGTTCAATGTATTGTCGAAGACTTTCATGGCCCGGATCACTGGGTTGTTGTAGGTTTTTCCGGGCTATATGGCCTCCAGAACATGGCCATATAGCCCGGAAAAACCTACCACAACCCAACAAGAGATGTTGTTCCTATTGGAAATGACGCATTTGTAAAACAATCATATTCCTTTTAATTTGGTACCTTTATTTGAGATCTATTTATTATTTATCTGTAGAGTGCTAGCCAAGAAGAGTTCAAGGTACCATATATTAAAAATTATAATAAAACTGAGCACAATTTGTAGGAATTCCAAAAATCATTTGGAATGTAGCCTGCTTCAACTATCCCATTATCTCTCATATACTTTAGGAAGTAACATCTTCCTCCTCATTTTGATACAGCTTATTTCTTATTTTCCTGGTGGTGGGACTGTTACTGAGATTGATGATAAATGTACTTTTAATCATACTGTAGTATGTTTTGTGACTAAATGAAAATCACGCATAGTTCACGTCTTTACCAATCCACACACTGTCTTGCTAGAGAAAAAATATTCCATCCAGATGATCACTAAAGAATAAAGTGTTTACTCTTTGTTACGCAGAGCAACATATATACAGTTATGAGAACAGTTGCATTGACGCAAACAATGTCCTTTGAGAGAAATTCAATTGGTCCTTAGGTGTCCATGTGAAGGATCTTCTTCCAGGAGCCAAGAAGAAAAAAAATACTGTTTCTCCTGCACAGAAAGCTTAAACATGTAACTGTTGCCAAAACTCCCAGGCTCAGCTAGCTTCTGGGTGTAGCCCAACCAATCAGCTTTGTGCTTTGCATTTTTCGGTTAACACACTCACTAACTGATTTTTACATGCTCCAACATGTTTGACAATATTTCTTTTATTTTTTTTTGCAACCCATTGTTAGTAGGAAAGTGGGATATTAGAGATGGATGGTGAAGATGATATTCTAAAAATCATCATTAGTTAAATTTCGGGAGGAAGAGCCAGCAAAAGATGCAAGAGCCAGCCTCCACTTTCTTTGACTGGTTATAATGCAGATAACACTCTCTATCCCTTCCTAACTAGTCTTCTTGATGGGAATAAAAAGGCTTTCAACACAATGGTTGCTCTTCGGTTTTGTGCCCGAAGGTGGTGCTATTAGTTCTGTTTCAGTGATAAGGATTTGGGATTTTAAATTGCGGTGGTTTTTGACTTTGTGGTGTAAAAGAGACTCAATTAAAACTCGGCCTCCTTGGCTTTTGATATTCAAAGGCCAATTTGATTTTCCAAAATATGAATGATACTTGATCACAGCTTCTTAAAGGTTTTTTAAAAGAACATAAGCCCAAATCATTTATCCGGCATGCGCAAGCAAGCTCAGTATCCATACTGACATAATTGTCTGCTCATGTTTATCTATATATGCCTCACTATCCATGTGCAAGGCACTTCATAGAGTAAAATAGATGCTGCCCCCCAAAATATGCCTTCAACCATTGGCTCATTACTTGGCCATCCTCACTGAGGTTGATGGGATTTGTAATCCAACATACCTGCAAGGCAACTTGGTGACTTTTCTTTTCAAAATGCTATCAAGTTTAGGATGGATTTGTTGGTCTCTCTATGTGAACATTTACGGAGGATAAAGGGGAAGTGATAGTCTATGGATTTTTAAAAGCATGTTGGAAGTTCCTGGGCGTGATCCAACTAAATCCTGTTCTCATCTGTGTAATGAAATTAATTCTTTCCACCCTATTTGGCTAAGATATATTGACATTGAAAGGTTTTTTTTTCCTCCCCTGGGGCCAAAAAGAACAAAAAATAGGGTTTTGAATATGTTGAGGTTGATTATAGAGCCTTCTAAGCCAGCTCAGTCATTTCCTACAATAACATTCGACTGTAGAATGTGAAAGGTCTTGCTGTTGAAAGAGCAAAATACCAGCAAAGAGAGAAAAAGAAAACGCCAGACCTATTTTTACAGATATTCCACAATGGTAAGGTCCAAAAAGGCCATTGCCATGGCCTATGTTATCCTGCAAACTAAATTAATTCATGTGTTAGTTTTAAGCCTTTTTAAAAAGGCTGTGATAGTTTTAACCAGGAGGGACCCCATTCGTGGTGGTTGATATGAGCCACGTGCCCTCTTTTCATATTTATTTATTTATTTGCAGCATATAAGCAAAGTAAATAAATATTTATATTCCGCCCATCTCACCCCAAAGGGGAGAGCAGAGAACACATACACAGCAAATATTCAATTCTGTTAAACAGACAATACAGACAACAGATAGAAGTATTATGTCGGCATTTTCTCCCAACTTTGGCATCCTGGAGGTTGTGCTCAATTCCAGCCACAGGGGGTGCTCTCACTCCATTCTTTAGGGCGAAGAGCCTTCATCACATACTTCCTCCTTCCTTCAATCGACAGCATTTGCTGGTATTTCTTTTATGATGCCATAAAATACCTCTCCATTTAAGCAGTGCCTAATTTTTGAACTGCTTAGGTGGACAGTGAGCTGGGCTGAAGGTCGGGTGCTCACCTTGACCCGGACTTCGAACTGCTGGTGATTAACTATCTTTTCAAATCTGTTATCAGTGAAGTTGCCATCCGTGTTTTACTCTTTATGGTCTAGAAAAGGTAAATACAGTCATTGACTTTCTACTATCCAGTAGATGAACATAATTGCAAGGTTATCTAACTTTCTCATTCACTCTCTTTCCCTGTTCTTCTATTATACGTAAGCTTCTACTTTATTAGTCATCCATTAATCTGTACTTCTAATATTCTGCTTATTTTCAGAATCAAAAACTGATAAATCTTCCCGCAATTTTCTCAAATATATTATCACTACAGTCTTTTTGAAATTCACTAGTGATCCTTCTTTCATCAGTCTGGTCAGCTTCTCCGTTTCCAGTTTGGGTCACCCATTGCATTTTCTTGGCTGAACAGGGATCCGAACCGTGTTCTCAAAACCCAATCACACTCTGGATTCATTCTTAGGTTATGCCCCTTTTAAAATAAATAAATAAGGATAGAAATAGATAAGCACAGGCTCAAGCAATGGTCTGCTCAGAAACATTTCCTTCTCGTTTGGGGCAGAATATCCTCACGGGGACCAAGAGGCAGGAGAAGTTAGTTGTTTTCCATTGGCTCCAGGCTTGATTCACAGGCTCCCTAATTGCCCCCATTCTTGTTTTCTGAAAGCAGAAGTAATTGGTGGCAAGGATTCTTGCCCTCCTAACACCTCCTGCAGTCGAGAGCTTATGGTAAGCTTTTGCACAAATGCTGCGGATTAGCATGAGCTGGTTTGTACAGCTGCTTGAATTTCCTAGAATCAGAAGTCCATCCATTAGCAAAATACTTAAGTTGTGAGCAAACCCTTAGATGGCAGGACATATGGATGGGAAGGGAGAACCTCACAAAACACCTGCTGCAGATAAAACAAAACAGACACCAGGTTGTCCAGCATCTGGGACTATTATATCTTCTCCAACCGGTTTAAGGCTCAAGACTTAAATATGCACGTAGACCAGACATGAGCAAACTTGGATCTTCCAGGTGTTTTTGGACTTCAACTCCCACTATTCATAACAGCCTTAGTGTGCAGGTACAACTGTACCAGGAGCTCCAATTTTGTTTGCTTTGCATTGAATGTTTGTTATAGTCCTAAGTTTCAGGGACTCTGCAGATAGGTGGCTTCTTTTGGCTGCAATCATAGGGCAAGCCACCTGTCAATTATAGTTAGGTTCCCTGGTCCCGCCCCCTTTTTGGGTTTTAGAGGGAATAGGAGCCTTAAAGTACCTGTTTCTTTTCATTAATAAAGAACTTTGTTGAACCTTTGAGCAATCTAAAGACTCTGTTTTAAGGAAAT